AAGGACAGCACCTGTGGCTCAAAGGAGTAGGGCACCGGCTCCATATGCCGGAGGTGGCAGTTTCAAACCTAGCCCCAGCCAAAAAAAAAAAAAAAATAGGCAGGCTTTGTGGCAGGTGCCTGTAGTCCCAACTACTTGGGAGGCTGAGGTGAGAGAATCTCTTAAGCCCACGAGTTGAGGTTGCTGTGAGCTATGACGCCACAACACTCTACTGAGGGTGACACAGCAAGACTCTGTCTCAAAAAAAAAAAAGACTATAAATTTATAGTCTTTTAAAGAATTTATAGTCTTTTTTTTTTTTTTTCAGAGATAGAGTCTCAAGCTGTTGACCTGGGAAGAGTGCTATGGTGTCATAGCTCACAGCAACCTACAACTCGGGCTCAAGGGATCCTTTTGCCTAAGTTTTGCTATTTTTATTTATTTATTTTGAGACAGAGTTTCAGTATGTTGCCCTCTGTAGAGTGCTGTGGCATCACAGCTCACAGCAATCCCAAACTCTTGGGCTTAAGCAATTCTCCTGTCTCAGCCTTCTGAGTAGCTGGGACTACAGGCACATGCCACAATGCCCAGCTATTTTTGTTGTTGTTGCAGTTGTCATTATTGTTTAGCAGGCCTGGGCTGGGCTCGAATCCGCTGGCCTCTGTGTATATGGTTGTCACCCTACTCACTGAGCTATGGTACAGAGCCAGTTTTTAGTAGAGACAGGGTCTCGCTTTTGATCAGGCTGGTCTCAAACTCATGAACTCAAGCAATCCATCTGCCTTGGCCTCCCAGAGTGCTAGAATTATGGTATCAGCCACCATGTCTGGCCAAAAGGCTGTAAATTCTTAAAACAAAGAATTAAGGTCAGGTTCTGTGGTTCATACCTATAATCCTAGCATTCTGAGAGGTTGAGGTGAGTGGATTGCTTGAGCTTAGGATTCAAGATCAGTCTGAGCATAAGTGAGACTCCATCGCTACTAAAAAATAAAAAAAATTAGCCTGGTATTGTGGAGGGCATCTGTAGTCCCAGCTACTTGGGAGGCTGAGGCAGGAGGATCACCTGAGCCCAGGAGTTTAAGGTTACAGTGAGCTATGATGATGCCATTGCACTCTAGCTGGGGTGACAGAGTGAGACTGTTTCAAAAAGATAACACCGTAACTGAGTTCAAAAGGATTTTGCAACATGCTATTTGTTTTGTTTTGTTTGTTTTTGTTTTTTTTTTGCGACAGAGCCTCAAGCTGTCACCCTGAGTAGAGTGCCATGGCATCAAAGCTCACAGCAACCTCCAACTCCTGTGCTCAAGCAAGTCTCCTGCCTCTGCCTCCCAAGTAGCTGGGACCACAGGCGCCCACCACAACGCCCAGTTATTTTTTTTGGTTGCAGCTGTCATTGTTGTTTGGTGGGCCAGGCTGGATTCGAACCCACCACCTTAGGTGTATGTGGCTGGTGCCTTAGCCACTTGAGCCACAGGCGCCAAGCCGCAACATGCTATTTGAATAAGTTCTTATTTGAGCTCTTCTTAATGTGAATAAAGGGAGTTTTCAAGTTTTTAAATACATGCTATTCCAAATCTTTGTTCATTCCTTCATCTGTTCATGTTTCCATTCATTTGGAAAACATTTATTTATTTATTTTTAAAATTTTCTTATTTTTAGAGATAGAGTCTCATTTTATCACCCTCGGTAGTGTGCTGTGGCATCACAGCTCACAGCAACCTCCAGCTCTTGGGCTTAGGTGATTCTCTTGCCTCAGCCTCCCGAGTAGCTGGGACTACAGGCGCCTGCCAGAAGACCCAGCTATTTTTTTGTTGCAGTTTGACCGGGGCCGGGTTTGAACCCACCTCCTTTGGTATATGGGGCTGGCACCCTACTCACTGAGCCATAGGCGTCACCCTGGAAAACATTTATTTTCAGCCAAGATATGTGCCATTCATATAGTAATACTTTTGAAACTTGTGTCCATAATTAACATCTTCTGTTTCAGTTCAGAAATCCATAACAGGCTAGTGACTATTGTGAGATTATCATAAATTTCAGATATGGCTCCCACCTTCTCCCCCAGGTCCTGGAAATGTCTAGAGAGAGCAGGAAGTGTGACAGCACTCTTTGCTACCTCTATTGTAAAGGCCAAGGGCTCATACATGTAACACACAGATCTATCCACCCCCCCCATTTCTTCTTGAAGATGTGACTGTTGAGTTCAGAATTGGGGGCAAATAAAAGGACAGTGCTCCAAACAAAAAATGGTGATGAGTTAAGTTTGGCTTACCAGGAAAGTGCTTCTTCTATTCAATTAGATAGATGATTAAATAAAAGCAACTTTTATAAGAAATACATTTTAATAAATTTTAATAAGAATGTAAAATTACTCAAATTCTACTGTTATATATAAACAAATGTTTTCACAGAAAGTGGTATTAGAGCATTCCAGATAAATTCTATTCCCCTTTCACCTGTTTCATCTCTGTTATATTATTAGGTCGCCTCTACCTTGCTCAGAACAAAAAGGTGCTGTGGATGCTGGAGGGAAGACTGAAGGAGGACAAGGATGTCATCACCCGGGAGAATGTCCTTGGGGCCTTGCAGAAGTTCAGCCTCAGGTGATGACCTGGCTCCTGTGACATTAGACCGGAGTTATTTTAGCCACTGTTTAATGCTTATTTAATTCCCATGACAACATGGAAGACACAGGATATTTTTCTAAAACTTAGGAGAGGTTGAGTGGCTTTCCAAGATAGAGCTGGAAAGCTTATCTCTGTTCCACCAAACTATACTACTCAAGGCCGCTGGGGATGGAGTAAAACATTTTAAAAGCACTATTCCATTTGCCTAATGGACTTTATTTGAGTCCCACCAGGTGCCGTTATTTATTCATTTATTAATTTATTTATTTTTGAGACCAAGTCTCACTCCGTCTCCCTGGGTACAGTGTCATAACATCATCATAGCTCACAGCAAACTCAGTCTCTTGGGTGAGGTGATCCCCTAGCCTCAGCATCTCAGGTAACTGAGAATACAGGCACCCACCACAATGCCTGGCTAGTTTTTCTATTTTTAGTAGAGGTGGAGTCTTGCTCTTGCTCAGGCTGGTCTTGAACTTCTGAGCTCAAAGCAATCTACCTGCCTTGGCCTTCCAGAGTGCTGGGATTATAGGTGTGAGCCACCATGCCAGCCCCAGGTACTATTATAGATTATAACTCAGACCATGTGCCAGGCTGAGGTAGATGCATGGATAAGACCTGACAGAGGCTGGGTGCTCATAGCTCAGTAGTTAGGCACCAGCCACATACACTGGGGCTGGCGGGTTCAAACCTGACCCAGGCCTGCTAAACAACAATGACAACTACAACAAAAAAATAGCCATGGCTCGGCGCCTGTGGCTTAAGTGGCTGAGGTGCCAGCCATATACACCTAAGGTGGCGGGTTCGAATCCAGCCTGGGCCTGCCAGAACAACAATGATGACTGCAACCAAAAAAAAAAATAGCCAGGCATTGTGGCGGG